AAATTTTTAATATATAAATTAAATATATAAATTTAAAAAAAAAATTAAAAATTACATGATACTTTATTATATAAATTTAAATAAATTTATAAAATATTTTTATGATTATTTATCAATTTGAATTAATAAAGGAAGTATCACATAATTTTCATTTTTAAATTTATTTTTTTGTAAATATAACCACTTCATCTGCAATATATATAATGATATTATTATGGAGAGTAAATTATTTTAATCTCTTCTAAAGTTCTAGTTTGAACCTCTCTACACAATTTTCAATTTACTAAATTTATAAAAGTTAAATAAATTCTATTCTAGTTTTTATAAAAAGCTAAGCGCAAACTCTCAATCTTTGTTTTGTATAAAATTGAAAAAAATTCTATATTAAATTTTTTGGCTTGTTACAGTGAATCCTCATTATTTCTTTAATATTAGACTAATTTCCTTCTATTTTATGAATAGATTATACTGTACTAATAAAACGCACCTGTGCATTAAAGTGGAAGCGATCGACGCCGTTCCAATTATCGAGGTCATAAGCGGTGAAGTGTTTGCAACAAGCAGCAACCTTCAACCGGTTAGCGTCGGTGCCCTGTAGGCCTCTGACGTAACTAGCGGCATATCTACCGGCTAGCACAGGGTCCTCACCGGGAGTTTCCTGTCCACGGCCCCACCTTGGGTCCCTGAAAATGTTCACGTTTGGACTCCAATACGTGAGCCCTGCTGTTCCACCGTTGTACATGGCCCTTGCTTCATCAGACACAACCTGCACATTATTAACCGCAAATTAATAATCTCTTTTTTCTTTTTCTTTACATCCAACACACTCTTTGCATCTCTTATTTTGTGTACTACGTACAATATATTTTTAAATTTCTTTTTTATGCATGGGAATTATGTTAATAATACTAGGTTCCGAAATTAAGACTCCATGTATATTACTCTAATTTTTTTTTTTATTTATCATTATACAATGTATAGACCTTTTTTACTCTATTATTTATTTATTTTAGAAGATTTTTTTTCTTCTAATTCTCTCTTATATTAATTTTTTTTCTTATACTCATAACTAATAAACATTTTAAACTAAAATTTAATAAATACTATAAATGAAGAGATAGACTCTTTCTCTTTACAGGCAGTAGTAGAACATGGCAAAATTCCCCAAGTTTTTCTTTATGGTTGATTCTGATATTTGGAAAAACATGAGTAGCATTATGTGCAAGTTGCTTAGTAAGGTCCTATAAAGGGGGACGGTATACAGGTCCCCACGGACAATGATATGCAAGTTGAAGCCAACCAATCACGGATGAACTAAACAAATTAATTAAGAGGCGAAAAATGAACCAATCATGATTCTTCAGTCTAATAATCATCATCTTCATTTTTTATATAGTACTACTTGCGAATAGCAATAATTTTATGAGTCACTTTCTCTAGCATACTTTCGATTTTAATTTGAAGAGATGTTAATTACTTTAATTGATAATAATTATAATAAAAATAAATTAGTCTAAAATTCATGTAGACTAAAAGAGTATTGTAATTTTTGACAAATTACAATACAGGTTAAACATTTAATTTATATGTATTATCAGCATAAATTTTTTATTAGATGCTTGTGTAAAATAATTTTATAATGACAATGCATATAAATTATATTCTTAATTTTTTTAAAAAAGAATTACCTTAATTTTTTTAAAACTACTTTTAAATTGTCTATTATATATAAAAATATCCTTAAAGGAATATATATTAATTAATTAGGTAAATAATTAAAGAAAATAAAATCCCAATATTTAAAAAAAATGAAAAAGTATATAATTTATTAACAGAATTAATTAAGTCTCATAAAAGGATTACAAAGAAAGATAGAAATTATTAAGGCAGTGGTTTGCAAAGATTCTTTGGAGCTGCCATCTCAATCTGAGCCCGTGAGTAGAAAAGTGAAGTAACAAATATAATTAAATGAATGGCTACCTCGCCGTGCACAATGCACGCTGTTTCATAACTCTAATTAAGGATGCAACTTGCAACCACGAGTGTGCCCACAATTGCTGTATGTGGTAATCAGTAATGTTACGTCTATGCCTCAAAATAACATTTCTATTACACTTGGTTACTATAATTGAGACTTCATAATTACTCCCTCATCTTTTCATTTTATAAGAGGATAAAATGTAAGTGCAACTTCTTAGATATTTTTAGAAATTAACCTTTTCGGTTTTTTAATTAATAATAAATTCTATTTTAATATATTAAATGTTAACATTCATAATTCTAATTTTGATTTCAAAACAAAAAATGCATAAGATAACTTATAAATTAAAACATATTCTCGTTGATTTATATTAAAAAATAATTATTTTTAGTTACTTAATAACTTCTACTATTATCCTTTGTTTATGACAAGTATGCAAGGAAATAATTATCTTTTAAACCAAGGGTGTGTTTAGCACATGTATATTTGATTGTTAATTAAATACGATATTGGCTGGTTAATTGTATAATAAATATTGAGAGTAATTAGTGTATGGCCTACGGGGTTGTATAGATATTAAAATATGATGTTTTTGGCAGATAAGTATTTAATAGTAGTAGTAAGATATATTTTATATTTTGACCTTAAATGTGTCTATAAATGTAGTCCTTAATTAATTGATGATGGCTAAATATAAATTAATTGTGGGGTTTCTCGTGTATGGTAGCTGAATATTAAGTATGCCGCGCGGGCAGGCGAAAGAGCAGAAATAAAGTACGAAGATGGCAACACAAGTTGACAGAAAACCACAGCGAGAAAAAGAGAGCATAGAAAAGTGAAGCACTTAAACTTATAAAAAATGATCAGAATGCAATTTACAGTTAAAAAAAATAGATGAATTAATGGTATAGAAGTAAAAAAGTAATTAAATTGAAATTAATATGAAAAATGATGGAAAGAAAATCTGACCCGTCCAATTGCTTCCCACAAAGAAGCGTTGAAGGAAGCAGCGGTGGTGATGACTTGAGGGAAGCTAGTGGCGGCGGGAAAGTGAGCATCAAACTTGGTTCCAGGGCCCACATTGGAAACGCCGTGAAGTGCTTCGGACCACCACTCGTAGCCTTTGATCCCAAGGCGTGGAAGCGGCGCGGCATTGTTCACCAGAAGCCTAACTTTCTCTTGCAGACTCAACCTTCCAATGAGGTCCTTCACCCTCTCCCCTATCGCCACGGAGCCCTTGCAGAACGCCATGTTGTTCGTGGTGGCATCTTTTGGGTCGCAGGCGAAGGGGTCACGTGCCTGGCACGTGTGCCAAAGGAGGAGGAGGATGAGAGCAATGAGGGGTGAGAAGGTGGAAGGCATTTGGGGAAACCGAAAGTGTGTGTGAGTTGGGTGAGTTAAGGAAATGGGAGATTATATATAGAATAGGTGAGTCGTGACTCGTGAGTGTGTGGGATATGATAGTACGTAGAGTAGATGCCTCCTTTTATGTATTCTCACTTCTCACTTTCTTTTTATCTTATGCTCATCAAACAACTTGTGAAATCTCAATTATGTCCATCAGATCACTCTTCTCAATGCCAATGCTCATCATGACTATACATATTAGCAACCAAGGAAACTCACCTGCCGCTTTTCATTTTGAGGGGCAACTAATCTCCCCAAACATAATTTCATTTTTACACTTCTTAAAAAATATTTCATATTAGTATGTTTAATTTAAAATACCTTCCTTTTAAAATATGTACACAATTATCATTATGAAATATCAATATTAATTGTTAAATAAGTGTATAGGTGAAAAAAATAATTAATATCATTTAAAATGTGCAAAACATAAAATAATTTGCAACAAAAAAAGTTTAAAATATAAAAAAATTATGGTATGGAGAGAGTGTATCACTGTAAATCTTTTTTTTTTATAACACTTAAATAATATAATTTTTTAGGTTAAATATTAATTTTTAGTTCCTAAAATATAAAAATGCAAGTCATTTTTAATTTTTGTCCACGCAATTTTGTTTTTTTTTTTTTTAATTAAGAACACTATTTTAGTATACTCCTTAACTATATTAAATAGTAGGTCAACTTATTATCTTAGATGATACTTAAAATTATCAAATGAGTCAGATTGATTTGAATCATAATACATGTAAGTAAACTAATTTGATCTTGTATAAGTCTTTTAAGTATTAAACAATTCATCACTCGACCTAACCATTTAGACAAACAAATTTAATGCATTTCCTTTTAGTTTGTTTTATTTGAATTTTATAAAGAAAAGTTAAAATATATTATACAAGGTCAAATAAGTCAAATAAATTTAAGACTAAAAAAATTATTAGTTTAATTAGTCTATCAAGCTAGCTAATATAGCTTCATTCTTCATTTAGTCTTTTTTTTTTGTCCAACTCAGCTTAATCTACTATACACTTTTAATTTGACACCTATAACTACCATTGATATATATTAGCATGTAACACTTAAAAAAAAAATCTAAAATAAATGTTATTTATTCATGAATAATAATACACTAATTTATATAACATTTTTTTTTGTCTTTTTTGATCTATATATTTTTTATCCTTTTTTTTTAAATCTCTATCGCTGTATCACCCATTATATTTATGCAGTATTCGAGGATAATGTGACAATTAATAAGTTAACTAATATATATATATATATATATATATATATATATATATATATTGACTTGATTTAATTATTCTAGAGTAAATAAATCGAAAAATGTTAATTAAATCATGTTAGAATATGTATAGAAAAATATAATTTTTCAGTTTCACTTTAATAAGATATGTTAAATATGTAACAAAAGAATAATAGATGAAAAAAATTATAAAATTATGATACTTTAGAGTCAAAAGTAAAATTAAATTTAAAATCTTTTACAAAAAGGATTTTTAAATGGCTTATATATATATATATATCAATTAAATAAATCAGACAAAAAAAAACTGGTAAAGCTCATTCTAATCCATCTAATTTCCTCTTATAGTAATAAATATATATAGAATCTCTTTTGTGATTGAAAACTATATATGACCACATATTCCTTTCATTAAAATACAATTATAGTAATATAAAATTCATCCAATCCTCGTCACGTATCATGGTATACTCACCTTTTCTTTCTTTCTCTCACCTCTGCATTTTTCTCTATGCTTCGCACGGGCCCACAACTTAGTAAAACAAAAAAGGAAAATCATTGAAAGCATTAAGTTAAATTAACAATTTTTATTATTAGAAGATTTACTTAATTAATCAAACTTTTTGAATGCTTTAATAGTTTCATTCATTGGTACCGTCCTCATAGGCATGTTGATCCAACGTTTGGGAGGGGGCATTTGTAGTTCTGCTTTGCATCCAGTTGATCATATTTATTATAGAAAATTCACTTTCTCTAAAGCAAGAAATACATTTCGGAGACGATATAACGTTTAATAACAATTAATAATTATGATTATGATTATAGTAAATTACAATTTTGAATTAATAATTATAAATCTGCATGATTTTGTTTAAAACTCATTCCCCCAATTCATTAGAGCCAAATTTAATTATTAGAAACTAATAAGTAGGAAGCATGGGCTAAATATTAGATCAATCGAACTGACCCTCTTAGCTTTGGAGGAAATATTTTCCATTGCTTGTCTTGTTTCGTTGTTGCACGCCTGGCAAGTACAACTTATTTTGGCCAGAAGTATGTTTCAGTGACTCAGATAGTAGTATATATACCATGCTTTGTGGCTAATGTTTGTCACTTAACGACTATTATTTCTACAAAGTCTAGTTTGTTTGGCAAAAAGAAACAAAAACCAGGAAGTTGCATTTATGGAAAGTTGATATAAACTTATCCATTTATTTTTTTCTCTGCCAAATGTCCCATGCAGATCCAGAAAGAATAATTGACATCCTTGATGCAATCCATCAAATGAATCAAAAGTGTGTGAGTCACGTCATTTTGTTAGTTAAACATTTTACCAACATTCAGTAGCTTGATAGTTTTCACCCTTTAAGCTAAGTTGTTAACTTTGCGCAAATTAACCTTTTGTAAAATTGGTTGAGCATAGGTCAAATAAAAAATTCAGACACGAAAAAAGTGGAGTCATTGGTCAATAGTAGTGGACTAAAAAGCAACAATGCGTACTTCGCATAGGCTGAATTTACAACAAGTTAATAATAGAGATCAAGAAGCTAACTACCGGCAATGTTAGCTATCGGCAAAAGTGCTTGTTAGTTGAGAGTAGCTTCACTTAGAAGTTAGGCTAGGCTTAGAGCTTTTCTGGTTCAGAAATTCAAACCCAGAGCGAGCCATAGTGATGGTGGATATATCTCACATCACGACGCTGAAAACTTAACATAAAATTATATAATGCCTTTAGCGTAAGTTAGAAAAAGATAAACATTATTTTATACAAAAACATAAAGATCGACAGGCATTAGCATTTAGCACTAATGAACTCTATTTTTTTCTTTTATCTTTTTATGAACTGGTAAGTAAGGACTAGGAGGAGCCTAAGAAAGTTGAAACAGAGGGGGGACATTACTAATATCACCCAACAAGGACTTCTCTTGATAGATAAAGACAATTTTCTATGAAAATACAAGTTGCTCCTAGCCACCTAGGTTAATTTTACTTAGATAGTCAATGAATTGCTTATCTTTGACTGTTTAAGAGATCCAATTAATCAAGTTTCTTTTTCAGTCGGTGTTGTTGACTCCTATAATTTACATTTTCTAATTTTCCAATTGGGTAGGTGTATTTCATTGTAAGTTTGTAACTATATCTATAAGTGCTCTTCTCTTGTTTAAACCTCGAAGCATCCGAAATTCAAGTCACGAAAACAAAAATGAATGAGTGTAACAATATTATTGTCTGCACGTGTTGTGATGGGTGGAGAAAGAATGGGAAGATATTAAGAAAATATCCACTTGTGAGTGGGTGGTCAGTTGCTGGCAAAAGAACATTAATGAAAAGCATTGTTAGGTTTTCTTGGGAAGGCCTCCATAGTGTATTACACAAGTTTTGTCTGCTTTCTTCCCCCACGGGACCCATTTTTCTTTTCTCATCCTTCTAACCTTCATGTAATGTTTAATACTACAAAATATGATCGATTCCTGTTTTCGGATATTAAACCTAACACAACAACAGAAAGAAATAATTGATGAAGCCTTTTCCATATTCTGAAGAAAATGTGAAATATCTCTCAATACATAATAAGGAATATTTTGTTTTGGTTCAAGGGGTCCACGACTAAAACACATTTTTATATTGGCTGTATTTGAGTTGCCTCTGCCTCGGTTCACTGCATCTATTTTAAAAGTGACACACCTATGCCTCAGTGGATTACACAAGCATTTACCTATCACTCACTCACTGCAGATACCTAGAGCTCTTCAAAACCCAAACAAACACCAATTGGAAGAGAAAAGGAATAATACAAAAAGAGAATCACGGGAAATTGACCACCACTGCACCATCATACATCATAGTTCAGGGTCAGATTCAACAGCAGAAATTATTGGTCTGGTGGACCCCCACCTCTTAATATAAGCGTCTAATATCAAATTTAGTTAAATCTCATACAGCTTTAATTTAAATGATATAAAAATGTGTTAACAATTTCGCAGTGTTGGTCTCTTTGTTGTTACTAAATACTACCAACTAACTAGTGACTTGCAAGTATACCTGATGAATAATGATCTTTTGGGTACAACAAATAGACATCAAATGAATTTTACCCAAGAATTTCATCATAAAGGTATAACTAATATGCAAATGATTTTAAACAAACTTCATAATTGAAATAATGGTAAATGATTCGTAAATATACTTGTAGGCTACGTTTGACCGTATATACTCGAACTGATCATGCATCGGTTAACTACTTGGCTTGCACTTCCAATTTCGGGACTGCTATTGTTATTATTATGTATCATTCATATAAAGATGTCTGTGCAATGTTGTAGCATGACGGCCGCGCTTTATGGTACAAATAAGACCTTGCCTCTTTCAAGGATATAGACATCATACCATGATACCATTAACAACCTATTGAAGCACCATGCTCTATAACTTGGTAACAACACATATAATCTGTCAAAATTTCACATGTTAAAAATTTATATCCGTTTATTTCTCTTCATAAATATTAGCAAATTTTGGTATAAAAAAAAGAAATTTTCACATGGCCTTCTCATGTAAAAGTCTCACACAAAATGTTTCATTCACGAATTGGCAAGCTATCTGACTTTTTGAACGTTGTCCCCTTTTGGATTGTAATTTTTGTGGTCCTTGGATAGATGGATGTTGATCTTAACCCCATATTGAAATGATAGAAACTTTATAGCCCAGCTAAGAATGGTGTCCCATCACGTTTCCCTGAAAGGGAATGAATCCTTTGAAATAATTTTATCACTACATGAGAACCTAACCTTTAAATAA